TAAGCGCTAAATGTATAAGGTCAAGACAACACTGGTTAAAGAAACAAGACACAGATTGAACAATATCTCACCATTGAACTTCAAGAAGGGTAAATAACACTTTGCCAATATGATAATTGTTTAGTGTGTCATTGTTAAAAGGGATTAACTTTATCAACATCAATTTTCAAGGCACAGTTTGTCTGGAAACAGGTTTTTGGAAAAAGATCAAAATGGCATCTTAGACTTACATGTTCAACATTACTAATAACCATTTCAGAGCAGTGTGATATATAATAGCTTCTAATACATATCTTTGCGAACACCTGCCAAGTCAAAAATCTAAATCAAGTTTCTTCAATTTTCAAAAGTTCCATCAGGTGTCACATAAAATTTCAAATGTAATTGTTATTTTTTGAGAAATTTTAAGCGCGAAAATGTAAAATGGCTGCCTTGAATTTTACCCAGCATGCCCAAAAACAAATCAATTCTAGATTTTCATACCAATAAAACATACCTGAAATTTTCAAAACAATTTCACAAATGATTGGAATACAGATGATTGGAAAAAACCCCTAACTGGCAATCTGATTACAATATAGCACCCAAAAGTTCCAAAAAGTCAGAAAATAATACATGTATGTTATATGATGAATGTACATGTATGTATGTACAGGGTGGGCCACAAAATCATCCACATTTTTTATTTTCTGTTATAGATACTCGTGCGGTCATTAAGTACGTGCCTATTTTGAATATTGGCAATCAGGGATATTCCCATATCTATAATCCATCTTCCGACAATAAATCAACAACATGAGACCAACGGTATTCAGTTTTCCCCACAGAAAACGCTAACTGTTTAAGTAATAATAAGTGTATCAAGTTTCATTAGACTTAAGAATTGACATAGTTATTATTTGAGAGACCATTTATCTTGATTATGTAGTTAAGGTGTTCATAACTCGAGTATTCTTTAGTTTCATAAGACTAAACCATATCAGTCAGGAAGGATGACATATAAGAAACAAGACATTAACATGCAAAATGTCACTCCCTGCCATTTGATACAGACATCAAATGCCAACCGCTGAACACAAACCGACGTCACAAAAAGAGATTTCTTATGGTGGTGACATAGAAACAGACTAACATCAAGTCCAAACACAGAAAAGATCCAAAATTTAAATTTATTCAGAAACAAACCAAACCAAATCAATAGAAAATAACTAAAATGACTGACCACTCATCTAAGGTCTGAAGGCAAAACACTAATTTAATTAACATTTTCTATAACCTCTAATGAATTCAATAATAATTCTTCATGTATTTATTGGTAAGCTTCTCTATTAGTATCAGTGGGACTCCATAAAATGTGTGGAAGATCTAATATATGATCAATTGATTTACATCCACAAAATTTCAATTTCAAGGAACTTTTTCAACAAATTTTCTTTGGGATGGGGGGGGGGCAATACAATATCACCATTTTGGGACACCTTTGTAATATTGACACTCTCCCTTATGACCTTCAGAAACTCAATCTATTTTTCTAATAGAGCGATACTTTATGTCTTAATGCATATAACACAAAAGGTTCGACAGGACACATTATAGTAATATGATAGAGTAGAATATTGGCATGATTATATGCATCTTTAAATGTTCACTACTGCACTAAACACATCAAAAACAAGTCAAGAGCAAGTTGAACTTTTTTAATGAGAGCTCATTAGGCAAATAGCACTTGTTGAAGGTTTGATCTAAATATTAAACAGGTTCTCTTCCATCAGTAAATGCACTTTTGACAAAAAGGATTACACTAACTGATTAAAGGGCCAACAAAAATATAGATGAGAAGAGGGCAAGTTTTGAAAAAAGAATTCAATATTTTATTCCCTTTTTATTTCACCTTTTACTAAAAACTCCAACAGTTCTGACTTTATTTCAGGTAATCCCTTGATTTAGAAAAGTTGGACTCCTAAAGCCAAAAAATTTAAAGGGTGACCTCCAATTTTTCTCCAAATGCCAACGGCCACCAGAAAAAAGATGGCCATCATTACAATATGCCATTTTTGGTGATAAAATATTTTCAATAACATCTACATTTGATTAGTTTTGTACACGTATCTCCTTTTTTGGGAATGTAGAGGAAAAAATACAGTAATACTGGCACATGTTTTTAAAAGACCACCCCGGCACTTTTTCTCTCTCATCTTTACTTCCACTTTAAATAAACTAAGTCTACCCCGTTATTTCCCATTGGCAGAGCCAAGGTAACTGCCGCCATCGCTTGGCTCCAAGTCTAATTCCCAGTTGAGAAAAAGGTTGATTGTAGGTCTGTGTATTGGTGCAAATAAAGAACACAGGGCTTCTCAAAGGAGGGTTTGCAGGCTCTTTGTGTGCAAAATACATAAAATATGGAATATACAGTAAAGCAATGAAGTATTTCTTGCCAAAACATTATGGTAACCAAAATATAATATAATACAATATCATATGACAGATTTTGACATTAACGTTACAATATGTCACAACCTGGAAGAGTGTAACAATAACGCAGATGCGAGTAGGTAGTTACCAGATTCACCGCCAGGTGGCTCGTTCGGGTCAGATAGCATGGCGGGTATAGGAGAAAGTTCCCTTAAACTTAAATCACATCTGTTTTAATGATTCAATTTTCATATAACCCTTATGTATCTAATAGTTATGCAAACTGAAATATGTCCAGTAAAAGAAAATGTTATCTATCCAATACAAGAAAAGATATTTCACTTTTTGTGATTTTGTATCATGGGGTCTATGGGGAATCAACCCGAACAAGAAGTCACATTTTCAAAAAAAATTAAATTTTCAAAGTTGATAAAAAAATTTCGAATTCATATTTATAGATGTACTTTTACATGCAGATTTCAAATATGACATCACTTTGACTGAATTATGAATATTTAATGACGTAAATAAGGATTATTTCTACTCGCACCTAGTCTATTGTTACAGATGTGACACTGAACACTAGTCACAAAGTTAATGTGCCAGTAACAATATGTCATCGCACCTTGGTGCTGACATAAAAATGGAGACTCAAGATACATAGGCGATTTACAAGGAATGATGACCTGAAGGTACCTTGACATTAAAAGGAACTTAAAAGAGTGCAATCAACCTTGAATCATGAAGTGATGATAATCTCATAAAATACCTCTTACGAGTACCATTTACTGGTACCGATTTGATTATAAATTCAACTGAAAATACGTTATATAATAGCCTCTCTAATATCTTTAATATCCCTATTTCCAATGTATCAATAGATAGGTAATGATGGAAAATACATTGTAATTGTCCTATAGATTATGAGACTTTCCTTATAATCTTACAATTGTATATCCGAGTTCAACAATCTTTGGCATATATATTTTGGGAATACAAGAATGAATCACTTATTTTTAAATGTCATACCCTTGCAGACATTGTCCTCTCAATACCATTTATGGCAATTATTTTAAAAAGTTAACCTAATTTTGAAAAAGTTTATATCCAAAATTCATTAAATATAAAGAACAGTATTTTAATTTGATACCATAATGACTATAATGCAAAAAGAAATTCTGTAAAAAACAGACACTTATTTAATGGAATCCATTTTGAAACAGATGTATAGAGGCATTTTCAATTATCTATAACTCCTTGAGCTTTAGTCGATAGTATGATAACCCCTACTACGATCTGTCTAGACATTTTCATCAATTCAAATTAGTAAGACAAGTCAATGAAGTACCATTGGTTCAGTTTTCTCAAATAAAGATTTTGGCCTATTTGGTCAAGTTATATCTCTAAGCAACAAAGGGACCTATAATTATTGTCAAAGTAGTCTTGTTTGATAAAGTAGCACCAATATGAACTAATAACAAGACATTAACATGTAAAATGTCATCGACATTTGTTACAAATGCCGCCCATTGAATGCCAAACACCAACCATAGAACACAAATCACCGTCCACAAAAAAGTTGGAGACTTTAGAATCATCACTTGTTTTTGTGACATAAAGGAAGATCATTTCAAGTCAATAAAATAAAATTAAACAACTAGAAACTCTCCAGGGGTTCGTTTTTGGTACAATCATAACTAACGATTCTGAGAAAACCATAGTCTGATGAACAATGACTTGCAACCAAATCATCATAAGTTGTGATATTTCAAAAAATCTACCCTAGAGTAGTTAATAACACTGAAAAAACATTCAACAAATCACTCACAATTTCATGATAAAGATATGACACAACACAGCAGAGGTCCTATGACCCTAAGATATCAACATATAAAATTCTAACCAACGTTCACTGCTATTTGAGTCATCATGGCCATTTTGAAATGAGCTAGCATATTAAAGAGGCTAAAGAGGCATAGATGGACAAACACATCTCAGTCTGCTATTGGATGCATAATGTGACTATTTTAACGCTTCTCCAAGAGTTAAACATGAACTGAACTCATCATTTGAAGGAACTCAATTTTCATTGAATGATAAACTAATATAATCTTTAAACAAGGCATAAATATCCAAAATGTCACAACCTGCCAATTGTTACAGACACTAACTGCCGAACACCGAATGCCTAACACTGTAATCACAAAAAAAAGATGGAGACTATAATAATATGTCACCACTTGTAGTGGTGACATAAAAATGCTTTTAGAATCTATCCAAACATGTCTAACACAGGAGTACAGAGGCTGCAAAAATGGCAGAAATAAAAATTCCTCAAATCAACTACAATGGATTATCGCTAGGGGTACCACTACAAGAAAGATTGAAAACCAATATGGACATATTTCCCTCATGATACAATAATAATGATACACACTTCAACAAAGCATGAATTAAAGTAAAAAACTTTTTTGTAATTTTCATTTTCAAATACACATATTCAAAATCTTCCACATTTGATGAAATATCTTATCTCATTTTATCAGACTCTCTGTTCTTTGTTGCCACTTTAACATGTATACACCTACCTTTATTGCATTCGCCTTGGCCTTCTTGGTCTTCATATTCTTGATTCTGCATCGAATTTGTTCCTCAGTCTTTGTAGGGAGCCAGGTTGCACTGAGTAGTTCATGTTGTTGGCGGACTGGCACCTCGGTCAGTTGGGATAACCCAAGGGCAATGAGGCTAACAAAATAACATAACATACAGTAAGTGAATATTTATTATTATATCACTATCTAGCTAGCGACAGTATGATTGGTCAAAACCGGTTCACATGTCGTGGGATATCTGGCGATATTCAATGGCAATGCTAATCAGATAAGACAACTGTGAGATATCTAGCGATATCCCACGCTCCTGGGAATTTTCAAGGAATTTGTTTTCGTTCAGTGTAAATAATTTAGTTCAGTGTAAGTCAAAATGGCAGTGATATAATAAAACAAATATTTCACTCTATTTTCGGTGAATACCTGTAGCACTTTCACTTGTGAAAGATGTACAGGTATTCACCTCAATAGAGTGAAATATTTGTTCAATATTTGACATAATCCAGCTATGTGTAGACAAGGCATTAACATGCAATATTTCACCACCTGCCATTTGTTACATACACCAGACATTGAACACCAACTGCCAAACACTAACCACCAAAAACCAATCACTAAAAAGTTGGAGACTATGACAATGTTTCATCAATTCTGGTGGTGACATAAAAAGTTATGGGTTTAGGGTTGATGAGTTTAGGGCAATCTAAAGGGAAGCACCCATTACATAACTGCAAGGGTTGAGGACGTGAAATATACTTGTAACCTACTGCCTGGTATAATTTTGGAAATTGTTCTCTATTTCTCTGATAGTGCTATGATTCTGGTTAGGGGAACTTGACTCATGTATGTCATAAGAATGGGAGAGTACATGTAATTACTTTTAAAAAGGAAATGAGCTGTCAAAAAACTATGGCTTATAATTATTCTTGACAGAACATTCACCAAATTCACTTTTACATTTGTAACGAATTGCCTGATTTCAAATTACTACTACCCCTAAAGGACAGAATCCAATATATTGGTTTGAGCTCTCAAGGGAAGCTGAGTCAGGGTCACCTGAAATAGCAATTCCCAATCAGGACAACCTAAACCCAATGTCAAATAAAAAGGTTATAGGTAAATACACAGTATACAGGGTGTCTCAAAAAAATGTACTCAAAAGTATATCAAGAGCACAGATAAACCAATCAATATTTTCAGACATTTTTTGCATGGTCATGTAGGCAAAACATGAAAGTTTTCTCCCCAATACACCATTTTTATTTCAGTCTTTTCTTTTTGATGCTTTAACCCTTTACCTTTTACAGCACATAATCGATGCAACCTCATATTTCGATGACAGCCTGTATCCTTACTGCTACATTGTTCATCACATTTGATAATAATTCCGGTGGAATGTTTTGGAATTCTCTTTGGATGTTGCCCTTAAGTTGTTCTCGGTCTTTTTGCTTGGAATGAGCATTAAAACACTCCTTCAAATAGCCACAGAGAAAGATGTTTTGAGGATGATGATGGCAGAAAAAACACAGATAATCAGGTCAATTATCGGCAAATGATTCAGGAGCTACCTTCCAGAGTTAGGCAGGCTTGCCTAATGACCAAATGATATCCAAATGAAAGCACAGTGGTCTCAAATTGATACACACAACAAAAGCAACACTAGAATCCCAACCAATGCAGTTTCTTGAACCTCTGACCTCTGTATAAGGGGGCTATAAGACATTGTGAGGGCCTCCCTATTCACCATATTTGACGGCCCATACGTTTTTCTCTGAGGCTATTTGAAGGACCATTTTTATGCTAAACCCAAGCTAAGTGACCTAGAACAACTTAAGACCAGCATCCGAACAGAAATCAAAACATTCCACCAGAAATATCAAATGTGATGAACAATGTAGTAGTAAGGATGCAGACTGTCATCGAAATATGAGGTAAAAGTATCAAAAAGGCAAAACTGAATTAAAAACTGTATATAGGAGGAAAAACTTTCATCTTTTATCTACAAGACCATGCAAAAAATGTCTGAAAATATTGATTGGTTTGTCTATGGTGTTGATATACTTTTGGGTACATTTTTTTGAGACACCCTATATAATAGGTTATTTAACAGTGTTGCTGTAGGTTGGCCTAACATATACACTTATTTAAATCCTCAGAAAACAGACAAAATCCATAAGACAAATGACTGTTAAAATATGTTAACATACTTTTCGTGCTCCTTCCAAAGAATTAAGATTTTATCAAATATAGCAGCTATCGAAGATTCAAGATGCAGAAATGTCAAAGACTTAAATTGAAAAAAATTTCCAATAAACTTACTTGTCTTCCCATTCTAGAAACAGAGTTTTCATCTTTGCATTGACATCACATGACAGGAAGTTCCCTGTAGGTACTATATCGGGGTATATAAACGTGCCATTGTCCAGGAATACCTTCATCTGTTCCAGTGACAAATCTGGTGTCTCAAATACTGCAAACAATTGTAAACACACAGAAATAAACAACTGGTGTCTCAAACAGTACTTAGAAATGATATAGGGTGCCAAATACAGGGAGTTCCAAACACTGGAAGTAAAAGATATGTATAATGGTGTCTCAGGCCATGCAGTGTGTTACCAGTTGTGACACATGAGGTTTCTCAGGCCCAGTTTAAGCCCCAGGTATTCATATCACTCTTTGAAATGAATACTATTATAATTAAGATTCTTGTGTTTGGTGAATAAAAAATATATATTTTGATGAATATCTCCACCTTCATGCGAGAAGTTTTGAGGACAGCTTTCCTAATTATGACTTTCCCTTAGAGTATTAATTGGCATTCTTTTCCTAAATAGATAACTCTTAGAGCAGATTTAATGAAGTAGTATCATTTATTTGTTTTTCTATTGTCATAATGAGAGCTTTACAGTATACATTAACAAGACTGTAGCCAGCTTTTTCCAAGGGATTCCCTTTTTTAAATTCCAGGGGGGTTCACATTTGAAAAATTTGGCCCAAAATCACTTGAAAAGTGCTATGAACGGTGAAAACTGAAAGGGTTTTTGGCGAACCCTGACCCCCTCCCCCTGGTTATGGGCCTGATCTAACAGTAAGTTTATTTCATTACACTGTAGTATATGGTATTTCTGATAAAGAAAATTAGCCTGCATTCTTAATTTGACAGAAATGCAAAATGAATCCTTAATGATTTGATAAATGTAAGAAAATATTTGCAAATTTTATTTCCAATGTATTTTACAATTTCACGAAATATGAAGCATGAATAGCCATATTGTGATATACATTGTGGTTCGTAAAGCGGTTGGTAAAGCCTGACCTTTGATTTGGCCAACACAATCAGTGTGTCTATGTATTAAAGATCTATACAAGTTTGAAGTTTTGCATTAATAAACAATAAAATGTACAATATACAGGTACTGTAGATTGGGTTAATTTGGCGCTACTTAATTTGGCGATTTTGCCATTTTTGGCATATTGGCGGCTATTTAATTTGGCGGATATGCAATTAGAAAAAAAAATTAAATGCAATTTAACTTACACGCTGTTTGCGAATTACCATGCAAATGGTTTGGCTATGTTTATTTTTTCTTTTGAGGACCACTGGCGATATTCACTACGTTTGTACATTTTTGTGAGATCATCCTTTACATTTTGGTTGGTTGGTTGCACCTTGATTGATGCTGCTACTATATTGCGCTTTTCCCTGAGTATCAATGAGTGACTGACCAATTCTTAGCCAATTTATAAGAGACATTTTTTCATATTTTTGGAAAAACTAAACCGGAAGTAACCTAAATACACTGGACGAAATACCCTAGATAATTCCCGGGGATTCATTCTAAATTTTGGCGAATATTTATATTGGCAAATTTTTCAATTTCGCCAAATTCGCCAAATTAAAGCGGGCGCCAAATTAACCCAATCTACAGTATTGAAGGTCAAGTACATGCATAATAGTCTTCAAAAACATGTTTCAAATATATTAAATCCCTTTTTTTGTGACACGATTCATTTTATCAAAAACAAAAGTTGGAGACTATAACAAAATCTGGTGGTGACATGAAAACTGTACATTTGTATCTCACAAAATACATGAAGTACAGTACTTAAAATAATATATTCATTCTGGATTTCATGATTTAATATCATATGATATCAAAATAATATACTTCATCATTACTTATTTTCTTTTAATTACCAAATTTATTACTGTAAAAGTGTTTTTTGTTGAATCGCAAGTATTTTATTGTCCAGAAACATTAAATAATCAATTTTGGATCTTGAATCTTAATCGCTGAACAGCATACTTTAAGAGTACATGGACTCGTATATGATCATTCTATATCAGAACTATTACAGCTCATTCACTTGCGAACTTTGCAGCATTTTCAATAGTTTGTGTATCAAGTCCCATAAGAGTTTGCCCCCCATCATGTACAATGTTAGCACCATTCATCATGGATGCATCATCTGAAGCGTAATCAGCTTAGCAGTCTCCTCAGGAGTACCAGGTTTTTTCAATGGGATAACATGTGAACGCTTCTCGTAAAGTTCATCTTCCTCTTTCTTTGATTTAACAATTCCACCTTTGAGAAAGATGCCAGTGGCCACTAACCCAGGGCAAACTGCATTCACTCGGACTCCCTCAGAACCATATTCTATCCCCGCACATTGAGTAAACTGATTCAGCGCTGCCTTTGAAACTGGATAGATTGCATATCCAAGAGAGTGAGGTCTTGTTCCAGCTATGCTTGATACATTCACAATGTTTCCATTGTTTTTTTTTAGCTCTGGGAAACATTTCTGAGATAGAAATATAGGGGCTTTCAGAGCAACATTGATCTGCCTGTCAAATTGTTCTTCTGTGACATCCTCAAATCTACAGAGTTCAGTGATACAGGCATTGTTCACAAGTATATCAATGCGCCCAAATGTTTCCATAGCTGTATCATATAGTCGCTGTATCAAAGTCTCGTCACTGTTGAAGTCTCCCTGTACCATAGGAAACTTGGCAGTCTGTGCACCAACTTTCCTGCATTCTTGAACAGTCTGTTCCAGCGTTTTCATGTCCCTTCCATGTATGACAACACTAGCTCCCTCTTTAGCCATCAACAGGGCAGTGGCCTTCCCAATACCACTGTTTGAACCAGTAATGATAGCTCCTTTACCAGAAAATCTCATTTTGATGCCTGTTTCCAATGTACAGCAAAAGTATAATGTAGTATGAAAAGTGCAATAAAATGCTGGAGTGGCTGTGTATACAGTATGATTTATTGATTCTTATTTGGGTAAAACCTTTATGGGAAGCAAGGTCATAAAGCTGTAAAATGTACTGTATAACATCAATTTCAAAATAGTTTTGTTGTTTTGACAGATAATATGTATTCTTGATTCTGTGTCATTCATGTTTGAAAAAGGTACAGATCAAAATCTCACATCCGCATTTGCTTGTTGTATATATAATTTATACCCAGTATTATAGGGGTCTAAATGGTATAATGATCATTTCTTAAAAACAAATTAATTAAAATTTCGGGTATTCATGTTTTAAGCTTAATAAAAAGTTAATCTAAATTGAACAGTTGTATATCAAGTCGAAGAGAGTTGTATGCGCTATCCAGGAGTTGTATATCGTTCTCACGAGATGAGTGTTGGTTTTATATTGCAGTTATACAATGCTATTATACAGGGTGTCAAATAAAAATGATCTCCCCTTGTAACTTTAACATCCACATAATGTTGATTGGTTTATTAGCGGTCAACATTTTTGCCTGTACCCCACCTGTGTATCATGGGATATCATATTATTGATCGCGTATGTTACTGTACTACACTTGTGAATTATGGGGAATATGACGTCATAATGTTTACAGAAGAAAACATGGCAGATGGACATGTTGTAAACGTTGATGAAAGTGATATTTTGACTTTTCTAGATGACAAGTAAAGCAAAAATACAAATAGAAACGTAAAATTAACATTAATTTACTAGTGAGTACACAGTGATGTGCCAAAAACAGAGAGTTGAGCTACCACTGTCTTCAGATTTTCTTAAAAAATTATTGCTGGCGTGGTTAGGAGAAAAGGTTGTGAAATGAAGCCAAGATTGATGATTGTCGTCTATATGTGTATTATTAGTTTCTTCTGACTAACAAAACAAATCAATCAAAAGTGTTATAGTTATTGCATGGGGATACAGGGGGGGAGGGGAGAGGGGGAGGGGGGGGGGCTAGTAACAGAATTGGGAGGGGGCAGAGCTTATCAGTCTTAAGTATAAATCTCATCTTCATGGTTCTAGATTTCATAGGGTACATCGTCTTGGTCTTATTATATTCATCTCAATATAGAAGATATTAGAATTTACATGGTTGGTAAGTGTCAAAGACCATAGAATAAAACATGTGATCAAAAGTGGGCGTCGCCCTAATCATAGTATATGGTTCATTCTCTATAAATACAGAGTTTAACTTGACTTTTGAAGTATATTAACTTAAAAACATCTTTGATTTATACTTAATGTCAAGCATTTCTGGTAAGTTATATACATCTAATTGTAATAGTTATTGCCTGGGGGTGGAGGAGGGGGGGGAGAGTAACAGAATTGGAAATAGTTCTGGATTTCATGGGGTACATCTTCTGGGTCTTCTTCACATTCATCTCAATATATGGGATATTCCAATTTACATGATTGGTAAGTGTCAAAGACCATTCAATTACGTAAGTGGGTGTTGCCCTCACAATAGTAGATAATTCATTCTCTATGAATATGGAGTTTAACTTGACTTTAAGATATATTTTTTACATTAAAACTTCTTTGATTACACTTGGTATTGTAATAGTTATTCCCTGGGGGGCAAGGGGGGTAGTAGCAGAAATGGGAGGGGGCAGAGCCAATGGCCAGTCAGTCTTAAGTATTAATATCATAGTCTGATCAGTTTAATTCACCTCCTGATGTTAATATATTAACAATATCATATGGAAGAATATACCACTACACTTGCAGATTTGAGAATCATTCAGTTGAATGTGTCTATATATGGCGCTCCACCTTTGCCTTTTAAAAAGGTGCTCTTGCTATTGCCCTTTCTGCATGACACTTCATCTGTGAATGTGTAAAGTGCTAGGAAGGCTGCATATATGTCAGGGTCTATATTGGAGGAAATGACATCAGTCTTCATTTGTTTCTAACTCAAGTATCCAGCAGCACACTTTGCTGTATTTTGCTTCTTGTTTTCATCATCATACAAGAACTCATTCCAATCTTTAGGGACTCTTGTTTTTCAACCTTAAATAGGGCAAGGTGTCACACCCCTCTTTCAGGTTCCTTTATAGAATTTTTGATGTAATTATCACATACAAAAACTAATCAATCTGCAATTGTAGAATCTTGAAAAAAGTCTCCGCCAGATCCTGAAACAAAAGTAGCTTTCAAGTTGAATTATGGTTTGGGATAGTTGGGGTTTGTTTTCC